GGGGGGGGGGGGGGGGGGGGGGGGTACCACCGCAACCCACTTTGTGGAGGCGTTCTTGATCTTGTGCCCCTCGTCCAGGATGACGTAGTCCCACACATGCTTCCGGGGTTCCTCCCTCTCTATCCATCCCCCGGAGCCGCCCACGGCGGGGGCGAACTGCTTGGGGTTCGAGGAGACCATGCCGTAGGTCGTGATGAGCACCGCTCCCCGTCCGCGGCTCCCCCCCTCCGCCGCGAGGGCGATCGCTCGCCTCCTCGCCTTGGCTGGCATCTCGCTTGCCATCACTACCACCTGTCGTGATTTTCGTGGTTGTGACAATTCGCGGGGAGGGGCATGGACAGGGTAAGGAGGCCGCAGCGGGGGGTGGAGATGGACGAATGAGTGAGATGGAACAATAATCTTGCAAATGTCGAGGTCCTCGACTCTGTTGATTTGTCAGAACATGTCAGTGTGGGTGAGTAGTAGGTTCTGTAGATCAAACCGATCTAGTGTGTGGAGGAGCGTGACGGGGACCGGAAGGCTGGCGGCCCAGTTGGCAACTACCCACGCTGATACTATTATACGCACGTGCGCACGTTGCGACCAGAGAAAGCCGCACCCACACAGTAGTATTCTAGCGGACGCCTACTGCTGTAGCGTCTATCGTCCAAAAGCAATCCTCTTGGTTTGTGCCTTCTCGCCTTAGGCAAACTACATACCCTAGCGTTGCGTGCCGAGTATCCCCCAACGGCATTGACAACAACAGTGGTGTCCATGGCATACATACCCATACCCGTATCGACCATACCAGATACGGAAGGCTTTTAATCAATTCCACGGTGGCGAGCCCGCCTGCATATATCTTATCTGTTAAAAAAATAATATACGCGAGGCGTGATTCGAACCCACGGCGATACGCGGCATAAATAACCCGTGCAAATACATCACACCAACCGTTCAAAATGATGAATCAACGACCCGGCCGTTCCCGGCTGTTCTTTTTTTCTTTTCGACCAACACACACACCAAACGAACAGATACAGTGACAGAGAGAGAAATGAGAGGGGGAGAGGGGGAGAGAGAGAGGGAGAGAGAGAGAGAGAGAGAGAGAGAGAGAGAGAGAGAGAGAGAGAGAGACGGAGACCGGAGAGAGCAGTAGTGTAAAGACGAGACCGCCCGTTGTTGTTATGCAATAAACGCCCTCCTTCCTGTCCGTTGAACGCGTGGGTTCCAGTGGGCTCGGGCTGTGCAAATGCACGTGTTTAGTGTAGCAGCGACATGGCGCTCGGACAAATATGCATACAATGATGTAGTCGCGCTGCGAAACGGTCTGATGAGGGCTAGGGTATGTCTCAAAAGATACCCGAATCAATTGCGGAATCCCCCACGGTTCCGCGACCACCACGTGACTCTTGTCACGGCCCCTATCACGGAAGGAACCTAAGCCAAACTGCTATTCAAGATCAACGCTAATCGTCATCAACGAAGACTGCGAGTCCAAGTATAACTAACCAGATGTTAGCTAGATCTATCTGATGTTGGAGCAGCTTGTCCTAGGTCAGATAGCACGACCCCATTTGTCTAGACTATACATCCAGCCGTCGTGCGTCGAGACGAAAGTACGTAGGCTACAGTAGTATGTGTAAGTCCCCGACAGTATGGTGTTTGTACGATTATCTCTGCAACTTACACGTTCCTTCCAGTCTACACTATTAAAATTAGCCCGCACCAACCTCGGTATATGCAGGCTGTGAACACAACCTACAGTACCACCGCAAAACAAGAAGACCAGCACGTTGGCATTGGACGAAGCACGGTAAACTCCGTACACAATATGCGTACCATGCTTGCCGAGTCCCTCAGCCTACGGACTGTAGACTCTTATTCCACTGTGCCTCACCTCGGCCTTTGGGCAGGCAGCCCTGACCAACCAGCGCCCTAGCTCGTCTTCCCACCCGCGCATGACGCTCTTAGGGGCGAGCACGAGGGCGCTCTTGGCCTGCCTGGTGCCGAAAAGTCCCGCTAGGAAGCAGGTCACCTGCGTTGTTGTCGCACGCAGGCCAGAGAGAAGGAGAAGAGGGAAGGGGTGCCGAGCATGATTCGCGATGTAGCAGTGGGGCTTGTTCGATGGACAGGAGGACTAGCCCAAGAAGGGGTTGCATCGAACACGCCAGCAGCGGCAAGCCCACCAATATTGTCAAGCGGCAGCATATCCTTTCTCTCATCTTCTCCATACGAGAATTTCAAACTATAATAAGCTATCGCACAAGAGAACACAATGGCCGTACGTAAGACGAGCAGCGACACACCGCTATTCCGCAGGTGACACAAGATGTCGCGCCTCGGTACCGATTTTCAAGGCTCGATTTCTCCACAGCAGAAAGAGTGGCAGTGCCGAAACATGGGGAAGTTGGATTCGTCTTGTCGAGAACTTTCCGAAAACGCGTCGTTTGATTTTGGTATCTTCTTCGCCGTGGAGTAACCGAGCTTTGAAAATCGGTCCAGGGGGTGTGATATCTCACGTCACCCACGGTATACGCGCCGCGGGCCGGCACAGGCGCGCGGAAAGACGATCATTGAAAGCGTGTTCATGTGTCTGCTCTACCCCCACCAAGAAAACCCGGCAAAAAATAACCTAACGCCCACCTGGAAGGTTTTCCCCAGACCCATGTCGTCGCCAAGGATGCCGCCCATGTCCCCCTGGCGTTTTGACGGCAGAACAAATACAGACAATGGGCGGCGCTGTATACTTACGGTTCGATCGCGGGGGCGGGGTAGAAAGACTTGTTCAACAAAAACGATCGATGAACAGATTAACCAGGGTCTCCACTTGTAGCACGCTGCTCCTGCAGCCTTCTTGGTCGTAGGTCTGCCAAAATCGGTTCCCGTTGCAGCAGCTTCTACAGCGCTCACGACAGCTAGTCATCGTCTGAACAAGAAAAAAACTCATCACCTGGTGTAGACTCCACAGCCACCGCACCCCGATCCTCTGGTGGGCGTACATCCTGTTGTACAGCTCCGCCGGGACCGAAAACGCGCCTTTCTTTTTCCTGGGGGTCAGCTCGTAGTCGTCGCTTTCGTCATCGTCGCTCTCTCTGCCTCCGCTCGCGTTACCGCCGCCTCCCGAGGCCGCCATCTTCCAGGCCTCCCCGCCTGCTTCCCGCCGCCACTCACCGGCGGCGCCGACCACCAAGCCTCCGTACCTCCCGCCGTCGCCCAGGCTCGCCCTTCCTGCCGCGGGGCCCGCGAACGTGCCCGCGCTTGCGCCCGCCGTGCGGGCAGCAGCGCCACTACCCCCGCGTTTGGTTGAAACGACCATCGAGAAACCATCGCTGTCGTCATCCTCGCTGCTGCTGCTGCTGCTGCTGTATAGCCCCCGGCCAAGAGCCTTTGACGGTTGGCGTGCCGCCGCTCCTCCCGCGAGGCTACCGCTGTTCCCGAGACAGAATGGGCCGCCACCACCACCGCTACCGCTGCCGCCAAAGCTCCCGTGCTTCAACGGCGGCTTCTTCGGCCCCGTGCCGGACCACCCCCGGTCGCGAGCACCCCCGTTCCTACCGGCAGGGATAGCGTTGCCCGCTTCCTCCACCTCTAGGCAGTCCACAAAGTCGTCGTCGTCGTCATCGCTACAGACAACGAGCCTCTCGGAAGCCTGGCCTTTGCGATTCCCGGAAGCGACAGTCGGGCTTTTCGGGGGTAACGCCTCCTTGGAAAACCGGGATATTGGCGGCAGCGGCGGCGGGGACGACGCCGATAGGTCCAAAACATGACTCGTGTCGACGGGACTCGATGCTGCTGATTTCCCACCGGCCGAGTCACGAGCGTTGCTGCTGCTGTTGCCGTTGCCGCTCGAAACGGGGCCGCCAAAAGAAGAGCGGAAGGAGGAACACCCCGCGCCCATGCCGCCAGCAGAAGCGGCGGCAGATGATCGTGGCGGCGACGGCGAGTACGTGTAAACCCCGCCGCTGCCGAAGTCATCACCGTAGTCGTCGTACATTCCCCCGCCGTCATCCCACGCCTCGGGAAAATCTTCCGACCCTGCTACATCCCCCGGTGACCCCGTCCCTAATGCCGGTGATTCTTCACCCGGGGCAGCGGCACCCGCACGCCGTGCTGCTCCGGCCTCGGACGGCACCGCTGCCCCATCCTTCTCAGGCGGCGGCGGCGGCGGCGGCAGCCCGCTTCCTCTCGCCGGATCGGCACAACCTCGGGTATCGCGCGGTGTCTTTCCGGATACCCCTGCCGGTGAGGGCGAGATCTCTTCACGACCGCTCTCTCCCGCGACAACCGGACTACCCCAGCTCTCGTTCAGCGACCGCCGCCGGCAATCTCGCGGCCGCGTCGTCGCCGCCTTAGGATGACCACCGCCGCCGCCGCCGCCGCCGGCATGTCGGGCCGAGCCTACCGCCGGGCTCGAGAACGGAGAACGTCGACGCTCCTGATCCTTGTCCATGTCGACGCGCGCGTTCTCCCGGAGGCTCCGGTCTGCAAGAACGCTAGCGCGGCCGCTGCTGCCGCCGCCGCCGCCGCCGCCGCCGCCGCTGCTACTCATCTTCCAGGGACCGGCGCCAATGCCGCCACCACCACCACCACCACCACCAACATTTTCAGCCCCAGCCGCGGGGGCGAGGGGAACCCGGTTCCCGCTGCTGATCGGTGACAGCTCCTTCGACCTCGCGGCGCCAAAAGCGCTGTCCTCGGCGGAGAAGCTGCTGCTGCTGCTACTGCTGTCATCATCGACGCCGAAGCTTATCCTGCCGAGCGCGAACGTCGGTCTCTTGAAGTCGTTCTTGCCTGGCCGTGTTATAATCGGGAGGCAACATCCGGCAGTGGTGTTACTGCTTGTTTGGACGATTCCCTGGCTGCAAGGGCCCGAACATACGAGACTGGTGTGCGTACGGTGTACTTGCGTAGAAATATTTCAACTCAACCTTGGAAGCGTTTGTGTCACGAGTGGTTAGGTGAAGGCCGTGAGCTCCGCGACGGAACGAAGGCGCTTCGTACCGCGACGGGACCTAGAGCTTTTTTGCCTCACCCTTGTTTGATGTATGCAGGCAAACAACCGTCCGCACGAATGAGAAAGTCGCGACGAGCTTAATAAACATGTCAGCACCAAGACTCTTTGCATAAGAAAACGTGCTATTATCATACACAGGTACAACAGAGCAGTGGGGGCGCGCCGGCGTCGAACGAAATGAACCGGGCGAAGATTCGTCATTCCATCCTCTCCACACACGGGCAGCACGTGCTTTTTTGGGTTGAGGCCCGTTGCACGGGTACCCCTCTACCCGGCGGGCATATCTCCAAATACCCGAGCCGGGTTCGGACCTCCACCTAATAATACCCGCCTGGTATTTTTGGAGGCGGGTTTCCAGGTACCCGCTGTTTCGGGGGGTTTGGGGGGGGGGGGGGGGGGGGGGGGGTATAGGTCACCGCTCGCTTTGCAGCTGCGTGCGTTTTTCGTCGTCGTCGTTCACCACCGCCGCCGCTGCCCATGGCTCTCCACATGCAACGCACCCACCGAGGGGGGGCACCAGTTTTTGTGTCCTTTTGTCGTTTCCCCTCTCTCTCCAGTGTCAGGGTAGTACTACCTTCCAGTCATTCTTTTTCCCCTCTCTAGGGGTGATTTTCCTCATCGGAGAGGTCCCCCTTTTTTGTGCAAGGTGTGTTTTCTCAATGATGGGGATGTTCGGTTTTTTCCACGTCGCTGAAGTCTGTTGTGGCGCTGGGGGGGGGGGGGGGGGGGG